GGGGCGGGGCCGACCCCAGAGAAAACAGCGCGCGCGCAGCCCCGGTGCAGTCCCAGCCCGGAGTCCGAGTCCGCTGCTAACTTACGTTGTGCCCACTCCGGTGCCTTTTTTTGTTGTAATTTTCTTACTACCGCGGAGCCCCTCGACCGGGTCCTGCCGCCCGCTCCCGCGCAGCGCGAGCCTCCTTCCGCCCAACAGCTCCTGCCCCTCGCGGTGCTGCCTCGGCCGGAGCGGCGATGCGCCTCATTCAGAACATGTGCACCATAGCCGAGTACCCTGCTCCCGGCAGCGCCGCCGCCGCCGCCGCCGCGGATTACTGCTTGGGGGCGGCGGGCCGCCGCCTGGTCAAGATCGCCGTGGTGGGGGCGAGCGGCGTGGGCAAGACTGGTGAGTCCTCACACCCGGGCGAGAACCCCCTTATTTCCAGGGCTGAAAGTGGGCGGCCCCCGCTGGGAATCGCTGATCAACGAGGAGTAGGGAGAGAGATGGGAGCTGTAGCTGGACTGCCCACTGCCTCCTATTAATTCGCTGACCCTCCGGAGGGACTTTAGCCAGCATCGCTTGCAACCCTCTCCTTCAACAGATGAGGGAAACTGGGATCTGGGATCCAGAATGGCCAGGCGACCTTCTCGGCACCAGCGACACAACTGGCATTAAAACTTTGGGGTTCTTGAACTTCTGGCAGTGCCGGACACAGAAAGGAGACTTAGTGAACGTAACCCCTTCTGGGGGTCTTTAAGGTTAGGAAAGACATCTATCTGCTGGAAGGCTTTAGGTGTGGCTCAATGACCCTTCCAGCTGGACAGAGCCATAATTCACCATGCCTTCCAGCCCCTTCTCCGTGTGTTTGGAAAGAAGGGTCAAGGAGCTAGCGGGTGGGAATTTCACTAGGTGGCCGGCTGGCTTTCTCTAGGAGAGTTGTTTTCCAGGCTGGGGGTGGGGCGGAGACTAATCAAACTTCTAGTGCCAGGTTTAAGCCTCTTTCCTTTCTCTTTTCTGACCTTCAGCTCTGGTGGTCCGATTCCTCACCAAACGATTCATTGGTGACTATGAAAGAAATGCAGGTGAGGAAATACATTTGAGGAAAATGCCAACAGCTTGCACCAGTACTGCTGTTCCCATTTTTCAATGTCTCCCAGGCAGGTTCCTTCACAGTGACAGTCAGTATCAGAATCTTGGCATCTCCTACTTTGTATACTACCCCCCATGTTTTCCCATTCCCGCAACTGCCATCTGGCCTCATTCCATTCCAAGCCCATTCATCATTTTATCAAGTGCCTGAAAGTATTCCCCTTGGTATGTTTTAACTATAGGGACCCCAGCTGGAAGCACCCTTTGTACTCAAGAGCCTCTCCCTTCAAAACACTCCTGCGAAAGTCATAAAAAAAAAAAAAAAGCGCCAGCTCCTTCCCCCACCCCTTTCCCTCTCTGCTGGCTGCCTTTCAGAGGTGACCTTTTAAAGCAAAGGCCAAAGGAGGGCAGTTGTAAACCTAAAGTTCTCTTCTTAACAAAGAAAAATAACTAGGTGATAGAATTTTAGGAGAGTTCCTGAATAAATGAGACACTATTTCAATCCCTATGATTAAGACTAGCCACTGGGGAGGCTTAAAGGCTTTCAGCCTATGTTCTGTTAACAAATTGTTTCATTCCTTAGACCATATGAAGTACCTATAGGGGTTTATTTGAAATGCACTATTTAAACCATCCCAAGATAAGGCATGGCAGCCTCCTGCTTTGATGTAAAGTTGGCTATGGTTATATCACATTTTTATTTCAATTGGTAATGTTGGCTGTGCATTTACTAACAATATTTGCCTACCAAACCGTTATATCTAATAGCTAAAATATAAAGTTATGTCAAAGAGTGATAAAGTACTAAAAACAAATCTCATACATGCCAAGCAATAAAAGTTGCTTCAAGGAAAGACTCTAAATATGGAAGTTCCATTTAAAATGAGATAATGTTTCCAAAAACTTGCAAATTTTGCCCTGGTTTTTAATAAATCCACTAATATAGGGTTAAAATTACAGGTGCTTTAGAAAATCTGAATTAAGCCCATTAACTAGGATATTTTTATGCATTGGTTCAAGTTATATTTTCTAAATTAAAAAAAGTCCCACAATGTTTTAAAAGTTGTTCAAGAAGGATGAACATAATCTTTTTTTTTTCCTTCATAGGTAATCTTTACACCAGACAAGTCCAAATAGAAGGTGAAACCCTGGCTATTCAGGTTCAAGACACTCCAGGTATTCAGGTGAGAAGCTCTGAGATGTGTGACTAGGTCGGTGGGGAGTTTGCTTGGCTATAGAATTGTTCAGTTGTTCTCAAAGTACCTCATGCTAAAGGAGGAGAGGAATTTGGGGATTTTACATGTTGTTTGACTCCTCAATAGTATCTGGCTGTTGGTCAGTTTTAGCCTGGCTTAATTTGGGAGATTTGGCTGAGGGGCAAAAATCTTCTCTTAGGAGGATTCTGCAGAAAAGACCAAATCAAACGTACTTGGAACTGGCAAAGTTTCCTTGCTATAGTTAAAAGGTCAGTTTTTACATTTGTGTTTTTGGCATTAAAAAGCAAACATTTAGGTATAGTCTCCAAATACTTGGAATCAATTTTTATTGTGGAAAGTTACTCTATAGACAAAAGAGCCATGCTAATGTGTGTGTATTGGTTTTTTTTCCCCCCTCTTGAACTGGGCAGTTATCCAGGTTTAAATGCTTCCAGCTCCTATCTTTACTTCCCCAGACTTACTGTCTAGCCAGTTAATTTCCCATTTTATGCAACTACAAAGTCTCTCTGCATGGAGTTCTCTGCAGGTCAATTTTCCACTTGAGTGTGGTGAGCTGCACTGTTATTTATTCCAACTCTGTGCAGCTGGATCAACATATTGTCAAGAAAGCTGAAGTGTGTGGGGATATAACTTGTTTATGGCCTGCGACCTGGCATTACTGTCAAGGGCTCTTTTGAATTCTCTGTGCAGCCAAGCCAGGGCTCTTTTCGGCAATCACAATTCACCTTGCCATCACCTGTCTCTTTCAGGTCCACGAGAACGGCTTGAGCTGCAATGAACAGCTAAATAGGTGCATTCGCTGGGCAGATGCTGTGGTGATTGTTTTCTCTATCACCGACTACAAGAGCTATGAACTCATTGGCCAGCTCCACCAGCACGTCCAGCAGCTACACCTGGGCAGTCGGCTGCCCGTGGTGCTTGTGGCCAACAAAGCTGACCTGTTGCACATCAAGCAGGTGGACCCTCAGCTCGGACTGCAGCTGGCCAGCATGCTGGGCTGTTCGTTCTATGAAGTGTCTGTCAGTGAAAATTACAATGATGTCTACAATGCTTTCCACATCCTGTGCAAAGAAGTGAGTCACAAACAGCCACCCAGCAGCACACCAGAGAAGCGAAGAACCTCTCTTATTCCCCGACCCAAGTCACCCAACATGCAGGACCTGAAGAGGAGGTTCAAGCAAGCCCTTTCTGCCAAAGTGAGGACTGTCACCTCCGTCTGAAGCAGGGACACTTGAGGGGATTTGGTCTTCCCAGGAGCAGAGCCTGAGGTCCTTCCAGTGCAGGAACATTGAATGCTGGCAGTAATTCATGGTTCCAGAAAAGGTTGTAGCAGAGAGGCCAGGCGGGCCAATGGAACTGGTGCTGAAAAAGAAGAGTTGTTCTGAGCAGGGGACAGAACTGATGAGGCTTGAATGAACCCACCTAGCTGCTCTCTGAATATGTGACATGTATGCTAATTCTTTTCCTATGGAGTGGGAAGGGGACATAATTGCTTTGGATTTTGTTTTTAACTACCTTGTTAAATGACAGTCGTAGTTTCACCAGATATATTGGATTTACAGTGGGAATGAAAGAACAGATTAAGTCTCATAGGCTTTCTGTTTTTTTCTTCTTTCTTTTCCTTCTCCCCTCACCGCCCCAAATAGAAGAATTGCTTTTCTCTTACGAGTAAGATTTGGAACACTATTCCTTGTAGAATGACTTTCTAACCTGAAAGATACCCAGATTCCTTTTCTAAAGAACAGAGAAGAAAATAATCCCCTCTCTCCCCCAAAAAGGGTGGAGCTTATGGGCCAAAGTGTTGGATATGCAGACATCTGTAAGCTTATACGGCCTGCAGGAAGGTTCTGCTTCCTCCTGACACAGCTGAGGCTGCTTAGCTGGGCCGGTGTTGAGTGGTTGAAAATTCAAATTCTTCAGTCCCAGACTTTTGAGTAATTGTGAGACTGTATAATTTTTTAAGAAATGTTGCATTGGGTACAGGAAAAAAATGTGTCCATTGAATTTGGTGTGATTTGTGTAAATGGTTCATGGCAATGACGTTGGGTTGCTTCCCAGGCCTGGCTGAGTCATGGCTTAGATGCGAAAATGCTATCTTATAGCGGGTGAACAGATGCAGGGCCACCGCCAGATCCCCTACACAGACGCACTTTAAAAAGCCACTCATGCTTTGGCTTAAATTGTAATTAATTTATTTTATGTACAATAAATCTCATTTTAAAAGAGCAGACTTCTTACTTTGTCTTTATTGAAATGCTCACCTTTTGTCCTTCAGACAAAGTGTTACTCAGTGTCTTGTGCATGCGGAATCGGGCATTGTGCCTTCCAGGGTTCTCTCCCAGGTGCCAGGACCGACCGAAGGTGTGTTCTGGTATCCTCTCTTCACAGGTGAGGAAACAGGCTTACAAACAAGTTAAGTGTCTTGTCAAAGACCACGGCCTATGAGAGTTGTAAATTGTAATCTGCTGCTTTATATCCAAGAATAGCATATCTCCTATTCATTTCCTTTATGATCCTACAGACAAACCTAAGACAAATGTCTGGTGATATATTTTATGCTGTGAAGGCATCTCTCAGCTAAGCCTTGAAGACATCAATGCTTCTACACCAGATTACTGCTTCTCCATACATGCTTCATTTGGCAAAACTCCTTTTGGGTATGCTGCTTTCTAAAAGTGCACTTTATTCTCACTGTAGAAGCTGGGAGGTGAGCAGTGCTGTACACCTGTTTATTACCGGCACGCTGCTCCTTCCCCTCTTTCCATCTGCTCTGGGTCATTCAGGATCCCCTCCATTGTAGTTGCTGCCACAGGTGTATGTGCTTAAACTGCTAGGCCACGCCTCTGTGTCCATCTGGGCCTGAGAGACCTTTCATGCAAGCCGAGTAACCACCTTATGGGCAAATATTTGAGTAGTGCTCCCACATACCTGATCTCATTTATTCCTCGGAAAAAACCATGTGAGGATGGTAGAGGAAGTAATACTACTGTTTTATAGAAAAGAAAACAAGTTCTGAGTTTTGAGGAACAACCTCAAGTTCACACTATCTGAATCACTGTCTTCCGACTATAATGTTAATAAGGAGGCCTTTAAAATTGAGAGGCAAATGAGCATTTGAGATCAATAAGAATAGCTCTGAGAATCAGTGATTCAGGTGGAATCCCAAATAATGTTCTCATTAGGAGATAAAGGCAATGGGTATTTATGAGAAAGGGAAGGGGAACAATTACATCAATAGAAGGAAAGCATTTCTATCGGTGCAGATAACATAGTGATGTTAATTCTAAACAATGTTTTTAATTTTTAGTCTTGTAGCCATCTTGTTATCTTTGTAACAGGTTCTTTGGGAAACAAGGTTGCTTAGGCCCAGTACAAAGGTCATTTTCCCCGCTTTTAACTTTCTGAGGTTTGAGGCATAAGACCTGCAAGGCAGTTCCTCTGGCACAGCACCTCTGGCTCCATTTTAAAGTGGCTCTGTTTATATTATTGTTTATAATACACAATGTTCTTTATTCCTTTATAACATTTCATAATCTGGTACATACTTCTGTATACGAGGGGCCGTGGGACCAAGGGAAGCAGCCAAAAGGAGTAGTTACTGAGGGCCTACTATGGTATGGTGCCAGACTTTCAAATCTGTTTTCTTACAGTATAAATACCCTGCCTGCTCTTAATGAGACTTCTGGTAATGACCCAAATCTTCCTTATGTGGAGGGCAATTTTTTATACTTTAAGCCTAACTTAACCTCGAAGAAGGTTGTATGTGTGTGTTGGGGACAGGGAGGGAAATGGTGCTAACATGAGATTTAAAAATATCTCAATTCAAAGGCAGCAACAAGTATGTCTGACTAGATTCCGCTCACTTTTATTTCTGTTCATTCTGTGTGGTTGTATGAATAATGTCCAGTGAGAGGTTAATCTTTATCTGCTTAACAGTGGTCTTCTGCCCATATTCTGGAATTGAAGAAGATAGTTTTCCTGTGGGCTTTATCCTGCACAGGTGTTGTGCAGTGCTGTACTTCCGTCTATTGCTGGCACACTGCTCCTTCCTCTCCTTCACTTCCATCTGCCCCACCAGCCTGCAGGTCCCTGGAAGTCCTCTCCTGCTCCCTTGTTGAGCTGCCACCTGCACCTCCCGGCACTGTATGGTTGCCCCTCACTTCTCCACTGTGCTGGACTCAGTTTCTCATACTTTACCTCAGAAGTTTGAGCTGGAAGGGCTCTGAGAGCTCTATTCCATTCAGAAGGATAGAGTGATGTGTTCGAGGCCACACTGAAGAGAGAGGAGAGAGAAAGAGAGAGAGAGAGAGAGACAGAGAGAGAGAGAGAAGGAGTGAGTGAGAGAGAGAGAGAGAGCGAGCGAGCGAGCGCTGGAAACCACTGAAGTCCCAGTTCTGGCCACAGTTTCAGGCCGACTTGACTATTTATAGTTCCAGAATACACCATGTCTTCTTCTCATGAATTTAGCTTCATGTTTCATTATTTTTGTTCCCCTCTTTAATTATTAGTATCTCTTAACCCCTTTTAAAAATTTTCTTTTTCTTTTTTTAATTTTTAAGATTCGTTTCATTGGTCCTTTACTATAGGCATTTTATAAACACAATTCTTACAATAGACTGTGAGGTGAGTATTGTTTCTCTCATTTCACAGAAAAGGTATTTGAGGGTCACAGAGTATACACAATTTGCCCCAAATTCCATGGCCAGAAAATGGCTGAGTATGGATTTAGGTGCAGCTTTGACCCTGACCTTGTGGTCTGATAGCCTTCCATGGCACACGGTAAGCATTTGAAATGCTTTTAAATTTCTAAACTACAACCAGGCGACAATGAGGAATAGCTCTCTCCCACCTTGGTAGGGGAACATCTCCTTTGCCACCTGAGTATGGGGAGAAGGGGGAGCAGGAGAGTGGAGAAAGGAAAGGAATTAGAATTTATTGAGCATTGACAATGTGCCAGATTATAAATTATCTCTTTCAATCTTTTAAAGAATTCTGTGGCGAAGGTAACAATACCACGTCCATTTTAAAGATGAGAAAACTGAGGCTGAGAAATTAAATTACTTGCTTAAGGCCACACGAGTAGTAATAATTTCTATTTCTATTTATTGAAAATTTATGTGCCAGGCACTGTGTGGGGTATTTCTCCACACCAGCTCCACAACCCATCATTAGTCCCTCTAGAGGGCCAGAGAAGGGAGGCTCAGAAGAATTCAGAGGCTGGTCCGGCTCTTAAGTGGCACATTCAGGACTGCAGTCCAGGTCTGTCTGCTGCCACAGCGTAGACCCAGACAACTGGCCCACAACTTGCCAGCTCAGCTCCTCTAAGCAAAGCCCCCCTGAAAGCTCTCTTCTTTGTCTTCCAGATGCTGGCCCTCCCTGCCCTGGCCCACGTTCCTTGTCCAGCTTTCTTCAGTCTCTCTGTTGCTACCCAGGGCTTGTGGATCCTCCCTGGCCCCAGGCCCACCTGGCTGCCACAGCTACATCTGCTGTTGCCATTAGCTGGCTGCTCACTGGCCTCCAGTCCCAGCTCAGTAATAAAGACGTCCAGGCAGGGGTGGGGGCCCAGCTCAGCCCACAGCCCAGCCCACAGCCAGTCTGCCTCAGAACCGGATCCTTGTCTGTCATGATGTCTGGCTTTCAAGTTTCCTCCCTGCTGCAAATCAAAAACATTCGGAACACTTTGTAGCCTGCCTGGCGTGGTGCAGTGTGGAGCTGGCTAAACCTTCCTGGCCCTCCCAGCTCCTCGCCCTGTTGGCATTTGCACACCCAGCTCACTGCCCACCCAGCCGGCCCCATACAGCTATGGTTGTATTGACACTGAGCCCTTCATTCTGGTGAGAAGTGGGATTTCGACAATTATCTTACACCCCAAAGAGGGAGAAAAACAAGGGATTTTCTGGACAAATGAACAAGCTTGTGGGCAACTCCCTTAAAAATGAGCTGTTGCTAACTCCTGGTCCTGCCTCTGCACTGGTTGGGATGCAGGGCTGCCCCAGAATCCGCGGAGAAGTCAAGGGGGGGTCCTTGGGGGAATGGCCCAGAAGGGCTTTATTTATTATGATAAACGCCGAAAAACTGTTGTTTTTTGCACTCCCTTTAGAGTCTAAAGAGAGATGTTTCCAGAAAGTTCTTATTGTTCTCATTAGTGAGAACAGAACAGGATTAGGTTTGGTGAGAAGAGAACAGGATTAGGTTTATTACTGATTGTGGCAAAATCCCAGCCACCAGCCTCCATGCTCCCTTCTCAAGTACCCTCCATTGTCTTTTAAAATTCCTTTTAAAATAGAGATGGAGTTTCTTAATGTTCCTTCGGCAGGACAGCTGACATGTGCAATACTGGATTATTTGTTGTCGAGATTCTGTTTCTGGTTACTGGGGTAAAATAAATAATAGTGGTCTTGTGGGAACTTGATGGAGTACTTTGCTATTGGGGTAACATTGTAACGGAGGGGGCCCTGGTGTAAACAGAGCCATTTCCATAGGCCCTGGCCTCTGGGGACAACCCTTGGCTGAGGCAGCTCCCCAGCACTTCCGAACCCTTTGCTGCGCCCGCTGTGTTTGCTGGGAAGTGGAATCCAGACGGAGGGTTTACCAAGGCAAAAGCCAGTTGCTGTAGAATATTTACGCCTCTATCAGTTGTGTTTATAGAGTGGCCTGTGAGGTCCTTGGCAGAAGGTTTGCATTTGTATGTGCTTGTTTTGGCTCTGGCCAACCAGAGTTTAGGTGGTAAACACTCAGACCCACGCCCTGAGAGGAGAAACCAGCATTACCACTCAGTGCAGCCGTGAAAGCCACCTCCGGGTGGCTGACGTCTGGTAGAGAGAGAATCCCTTTAGAATCGGTAGATTTGGATGAGGTTGAAATGGTAAGTCAGGGTGTGAGTCTCAGAATCCACGCAACTACTTCGTGGCTAATATCAGTGATGCAGAAAGTTCTCTTATAGACATAGGATGCCACATGAGCAATCATTAGACATTTACTACCAGTAATGGTGACTAATATGCTCTCAGCCATCTTGCCATGTTCTAAGTGCTTTACGCCTTTAATTCTTTTAATTTTCACAACAACCCAATGTGGTAGGCCCAATCATTGTTCGAGTTCATAGTCAACTGAGACCAGGAGACATAAACTACTGTGTGGAAGAGGTGGGATCGGAAACCATACGACTGAGTCGGACTGCCGGCCTTGCTCCCGGCCTCTGGGCTGCACTGTCTTGGAAATACATGGGACCAAGGTGTTATTCCTCCATTTTCTCATCTCCTATGGATCCCAGAATGCCTCTGAACTTCTCTTAATTTGACATTATTTTCCTGTTGAGACTATCATTTTGTGAGGTGTCTTCCTCGGTGTCTTCAGCAGTAAGTACCCGCATTCCTTGGTGTTCTGTGCTAGCCGCTGTGTTAGGGATGGCTTCCCTCTATTGCAACCCTCTCACGAGGTAGGGACCATTCATTAGTACCTGGATTTTACAGATGGGGCCACTGAGACATGGAGATATCCACATGGCTGTGAGTGGCAGAGCTGAGACTTAAACCCAGAGAAGACCTTGGAGCTCGGTTCTAACCGCTGCTCCTTCACAGGGGGCCAAGACTGCGACCCATTTCTCCCCACCCCCTCGTACTTCTGGGCAATGAGCCCAAGAAGGAGGCAAAACCAGAGAGGCTTCATTGGCCAAGCGGCCAATGTGCCATTTCCTGAGCCCCCTTTTTCTTCCTTATTCAGTGAAGGCCCTTAGCAGGATTTATACCAAGTTTCTATTATGTTCCTGGTTTTCATTCAAGGAGCAGCGTTCTGTCCTCTGCCTCCCACCTTCTTATTCAAAGCGAACGCTAGTCACCACGAACTTTCTCTGGCTTACCTTTTCTCCAAAGCCTTCCACTATCTGATTGCCTGCCTAGTTCAGTTCCTCCAACCAGTAACCACAGGGATGGAAAAAGATGATTGTAAACCAAACCTATGACATTTTCTTCCACCACTCAGAGACTGCCTTTGGCCATACTTAATTGAGAAAATTTTTGGGCCATAATAACCGCTTAATGATAACATTTGCAAGCAGGAACTTCCACCTTTTATCATCTTGGATTAGGAGCTTTTAAATGTCCTTTTTTAAAAGAAAAAAATTAACTTGTAAAAATACATTAAAGTCACAAGAGTAATATACAAATATACATTTGCTGTGGAAAAAAATTCAAACACACAAGTATATTGAAAGCAAGACTCTGGTTCTCTTAGCCCTCCTATTTTATACTCCTTCCCAGATGTAACTACTTGTTAGCAGTTTGGTTTTCATATTTACAAAAAGTTTCTTTTGCAGATAGACAGATGGTTTAAAACTTAACCTCAAGCAGATACTCACATAGGGCCCGAGCATCAGGAGAAGCACCAGCTGCATTTTCTGTGAGAACTGTGGAGTTACAGACGGGTCTGGCTCATTCGCCACCAAGGCCAGAACCTAGCAGAGTGCTTGGAACATGCCAGATGCTCACTCGATATTTGGGAATGAATGAGATGACTGAATGAATGCATGAATGCAGATTTGAAACACATAGCAAGTTACTTCTTTTATTTTTTATTTTAGAAAATAGTGATCTCTGCTTTAATTATGATTTCTTTTGGGTTATTGCCATTTTCTAATTCGATTTCAAAGCATCCCTGATACTGTGGCATCGTTAAAGAACTTGTG